ATGCAGCATGGAAAGGTTATAGCATATGGGTCTAGACAGCTAAAGAATCATGAGAAGAACTATCCTACCCATGACTTGGAGCTTGCCGCAATCATACACGCCTTGAAAATCTGGCGCCATTATTTGTATGGAGAGACCTTTCAGATCTACACCGATCATAAGAGTTTGAAGCACATCTTCACTCAGAAGGATCTCAACATGCGTCAGAGAAGGTGGATGGAACTCCTCAAGGACTATGATTGCGACATCCTATACCATCCAGGTAAGGGCAACGTAGTAGCCGATGCCCTCAGTAGGAAGAGTGCAAGCACCCTAGCCCATCTGATGGTTTCGGAATGCAGGTCCATTGGGGCTACGCAGCAGGTTCGACTGCAAGATCTGAAGAGGGCCACATGTTTGAGCCACCTAGCAGTCCAACCCGAGTTAATCCAAAGAATAAAGGAAGCCCAGTCAATCGACCCCGCCCTAGTAAACCGCAAGAAGGATGCAGAACAGGGAGTGAACTCAGAATTTCAGATCTCTGCCGACGGATTGATTCGTTTCAAGGACAGAATGTGTGTCCCAGACGACAATGAATTAAAAAGAGACATCATGACAGAGTCCCATAGTTCAAGATTCGCCATGCATCCAGGAAGTACAAAAATGTACCAAACTATGCGACCCCGATTCTGGTGGAATGGGATGAAGAGAGATATAGCCGACTTCGTATCTAAGTGCTTGGTATGTCAGCAGGTCAAAGCAGAACATCAACGCCCAGGGGGGTTGCTTCAGCCCTTACCGATTCCAGAATGGAAGTGGGAACACATCACCATGGACTTCGTATCGGGACTACCCAAGGCACGATCGGGACACGATGCCATATGGGTAATTGTTGACCGACTCACTAAGTCTTCCCACTTCCTGGCCATCAGAATGACTGATTCGTTGGACAAGTTGGCAAGAATGTATGTCCGGGAAATAGTCAGACTGCATGGGGTCCCAGTAACAGTGGTATCCGACAGGGATCCCAGATTTACTTCTCGGTTTTGGAATAGTTTCCAGCAAGCTATGGGAACAAAGCTGTCCCTCAGTACTGCCTTCCACCCCCAAACCGATGGACAATCAGAGAGGACAATCCGTACGCTGGAGGATATGCTCCGAGCTTGTGTCCTTGACTCCGGAGGCCATTGGGACGACCATCTACCCCTGATAGAGTTTGCCTACAACAACAGTTACCAAGCAAGCATCGGCATGGCCCCATACGAGGCGCTATACGGGCGTCCGTGCAGGTCACCGATTTGTTGGGAGGAAGTGGGCGATAGAAGATTGTTTGGCCCGGATTTAGTGGAAGAAACCACGTCCAAGATAGTTAAGATCAAGAAGAACATCCAGACAGCTCAGAGTAGGCAAAAGAGCTATGCTGATACCCGGAGGAGAGACCTAGCCTTTGAGAAAGGTGACCGTGTGTTTCTTAAAGTCACCCCCTTCAAGGGAATCAGTAGGTTCGGCAGAATGGGAAAATTAAACCCCAGATACATTGGACCCTTTGAAATCTTAGACAAGATTGGTACCACTGCCTACAGACTTGCACTGCCCCCTGAGCTCTCCCGGGTTCACAATGTGTTTCATGTATCTATGCTGCGCAAGTACAATCCGGACCCTTCTCATGTCGTGGCTCATGAACCGCTTTCACTCCGAGAGGACTTGTCTTATGAAGAAGTACCGGTCAGTATCACGGACCGAGAAAGCAGAATACTCCGTAACCGGGAAATATCATTTGTAAAAGTCTTGTGGCAGAACCACACGCCTAGGGAGGCGACTTGGGAGCTGGAATCAGAATTTAGGGCCCAATATCCTCATCTATTTAATCAAGAGTAATGAGGCAAATTTGGGGACCAAATTTCTTTATGGGGGGGAGAGTTGTAGCACCCGGAAAGGAGGAAAAAAAAAAAAAAAAAAAAAAAAAGGGAAGGCCACGTCAGCAGCCACGTCAGCAAGCCCGGTCAGCACCCGGCCAACCAGGGCCTGCCACGTGGCAAGACCGCGTCACTCCAAAAGGAGCCACGTTGGCGATCCGCGTGGGTGCGATCCGACGGCCCAGATCAATCACGCGATCGGACGGCCCAGATTCAATCGCACGGACGGCCCAGATTCAATCAAAAACGAACGGCCCAGATTAAAACAAAATGAACGGCTGTGATCAAAAGGCAAGGGGTTATAAATAGAACCCCCACACCAGACCACAAACCCTAGCCGCCAGCCGCTCGCCGGAGAAGACGAACCAGAGACCGACCGCTGCCACCCGCCGCCACTCGCCGCCGCACCGGGGAAATTTCCGACCGCCGATCGAGGTAAATTTCATACCCCCGACTCGTTTTTCCCCACTGATTCCTCCTATGCCCAAATCGAAGCCGAAATCCCGGCCAAACGGCCGGAATACGCGGCCGAAGCCCAGCGGCGCCGCCGCGCCCCCTCTCGGTTTTTGCCTCCGACGAGGCCCTTCCCGGCCTCCGTTCGATGCAATTTTTATATCACCGTGATCACCATTCTTTTCTCTACAGGTTGACCGGAGCCGAATCACCAAAACACGAACCTCGCCGGAGAGCCGCTGCACCCGAGAGCGCCGCCGCCGGTAAGCTCCGTTTTTCCGTGATTTTTTGGCCCCCCGAGGGCCCTAGGGTTGTTTTCTGACAAGGACCAATGCGAGCGTGGCCGAATTCGGCCGAAAACAGCCAACCCGAGGCGACTCGCCGCCGCCAGCGGCGGCGCCGTCGCCGGAGCACGGCGGAGCCGCCGTGCCGGAGTTGCGATTTGGGCCGAAGGAGGCCCTGGGCCTAATTTGGATTTTTTTTGGAACACGTGCAGGTACTGTTAGTGTGTTTCAGTTTCCCGGGAAAAATTCAGGGAAAATTAGGGACAGCCTGCAGGCGCACTGTGAATCGTATTCGGATCCCGAAAACAGGTAAGGACCCCTCACCCTATTTCCTATCACGGTATTAAAGTTCAAAATAATAAAACGGTATTTCTTGAATTAACGCATGTGTGAAATTGCTTAAGGTTGCTAATGGAGCCCGAGTCTAGTGTGATTGATGATTTACTGTT